GATATTTCGGCAACATGCCTTTCTCGAAACAATACCAGAAATGGGTTCAAAGTTGCCTGTCGATGACCGTACTCTATTTTTCATGCTTTTTTAAAGAGCAAGCCACAAGTTTTTACAGCACACCAACATTCAGAGAACTAAACAAGAGTGATTGCCAGCCATTACCAAGATACAGTGCCCATCTAAGAATCACAATGCCCGGACATACGTGTGCATGCAACGAATTTAAGCAAAAAGGCATCACGCATAACGCTTCATACGAACTGCAAGCGAGCAATAGTCTGCAAGTCTTATCAAAATTCGGCAGCCAAATCTTAATATACAGAGCTCATCATGGCCAATCATGCGAAGGTGATATGTGGCTTTATGTGTGATGTGTTCTAGTTTAAAAGTCGTTTACATGTGTGAGTGATGCCTGACGTGCGATGTGCGGTGCCTGTTCAATTGAAATCGTTTGGATGTATAATTGGTGCGCGATGTGTGATGCCTGTTTACTTCACCTCGCTTGCATGTTCAAACGAAGCGGGATGGGTAATGCTTATTTCCTTGAGTTCATTGGCATGTACACGTATGTCCGGGCATTGTAACTTCTTAGATAGTCACTGTATATTGGTTATAGCTGGCAATCGCTCTTTGGTTAATCCCCTGAATGTTGGTGTCCTGTAAAAAACTGTCTTGCTCTTTCAAAAAAAAGTCGAGTAGGATCATCGGCAGGCAATTTTGAATTCACTTCTGCCATTGTTTCAAGAAGGGCCATGCTGCCGGAATATCAACCTACTATATCTCCATTCTCCTGGGTTTTCCGAAAAACTAAGGGCTATACTACTGTGTGATAGTAGGATATATCTATATACTATGTATGTAGTATATATCTATGGGTGTTGGGGTGTGTGTGGGGGTGTGTGTGTGGTGTGTGTGTGCTGTGTGTGTGTGTGTGTGTGTGGTGTGTTGTGTGTGTGTGTGTGTGTGTGTGTGTGGTGTGTGTGGGTGTGTGTGTGGTGTGTGTTGTGTGTGTGTGGTGTGTGTGTGTGTGTGTGTGTGTGGTGGGTGTGGTGTGTGTGGTGTGTGTGTGTGGTGTGTGTGTGTGTGTGTGAAATATATATAAACATAATATCTGTGTGACTAATGCTCCTCGCTAATCCATTAAAAAACTTATCTCATATAAGTTTGAGTCAAAGTCAGACAACGAGTCCTGCTGTCCAGAGTCAGGATCCGAGTCTGAGTCCGAGGCTTCAGTTGTGTACTGAGTGACTGCTAGTTCGAGTTTGATTCATCTGCAATAGCAGGCAATTAACTTCAGTCCAAGTCACAATAGGTCATTGGCACGAGTTGGAGTGCGACACAGACTCATGCGGGTTATAGAAGTGTATGGAGAGCCGTTTCACAGAGTCACCCGGGATAGAATGTGATCTCGGAGTCACGACTTCTGTTTGACGCGTCTCCGACATATTGCTCATTGAATGTTCAGCTGTTTGACGGAATTTGGCATTTAAATAAATTCGGTGGCATTTCAAGTTACGGGTGAAAAATCATGTTGTCTTAAAATGACACCGTCATTCATAATAGATCGCATGAATATAAAATGCATCGTTTATTCATAATAGATCCCCACGAGTATAAATATAAATAGATCAGATGATATCGCATTATAGTTCGTTTCTACGGAGCATTTCGGATGTTTCGTTAAATTTGTATATCGACTGAGGATTTTCGGCATTATCATTATCATGGCGCTTGAGTGTCTCCAGGCTGAGGTTGAGTCCTTGAGTCCTGAGTGCTCCAAAATGTTGTCAAGTTCCTACTAAAACTAGTAAAGTCCTCTGGGAATTTGGCGAAAAATTGATCAAATTATATTGACAGTCCCATAGGGCCTCTGACCGATGCCTTGATCGGTTATGAGCGGAATGTTTTTGCCCCTGCCGTCCAAGATGAGTGTTAGTGATGTGTACAGTAATGCACAATTAATAAACCTGTACCGAGTTTAAGTTATGCAAGTTTTTGAGTGCATTTGTGAGGAATATTACGTACATGCATTAGAAGGTAGTAAAAACCTTATTATTCGTAGAAAAAAAACAGGAGATTGGAGATATAGATGCGTTGATATTTTGGCAGCATGCCTGCATCAAAAGGAACAGCAGAAGTAAATTCAAAATTTCATGCCAATGTTCCTGCCAAATCTTTCAGTTCTTTTTTTTTTGCAACAGCGAACCACAGTTTTCGCCGGTCACCAACATTCAGGGAATAAAACAAGGAGCAATTGCTAACCATCCCCACGATACAGTGCACATATAACTAGAAATAAGAGCACGCAAAAATACGTGTATGCACAAACGAACTCAAGCAAACTGTTCGCTCGCTGTTGAAAACAAAACTCAAAAATCGAGTAAGATCATCGGGCACTTTCGAATTTATTTCTGCTATCCCGTTCGAAACAGGCATGTTACCGAAATCTCAGCGCATATATCTCTTTATCTTCCAAGTCTCTCTACGAGGAATGAGGCTATTGTTACTGTCTTATTTATGTACCGAGTTAGGAATAAATCATGCAACCATCACGGCTTTATGGAAAAACATCCTCTGAAAGCATCGATACTTAAGTGCTATTTGACGTCTGTGAGCCTCAGGAAAGGGGAAATATTAGAAAGAGTCCGTTGAAAAAATATTGAAAAGAACCTGCTCTTTATTCTTCATTCTTTTCCGCCAGAAAACGACACATGCACCACTATTTTGTGAAAGGTTCTGTCCTGGTGCACCATGCTGGTGCATTGTGACACTGATGTCTACTCAGCGCGCTGGGCGTCACCCCGATCACGTGGTACATTACATCTGGTGCTCAGGTAACTTGTGTGTATTGCATCCAACCTCGGGAGCAAAAAGGCCGGTTTCAATAAATATTATTTTGGCTGTGTTGTTCGAACTGTAATCTGGATATTTTTGTTCAAATTCCTCTATGAATGAGGAATGCATTCCTCAATATCCACAGCGTTGAATTTTAGCTCACTGCAGCTATCTGATGGCGGGTTGCAGATATTTCTAAGATACCTGTCAGTTGTAACCAGATTTCACGTTTGGTTGTTTTTCCATGAACGAAACATTAGGTTTTGAATTGCATCCTAGCCCGCCTTCGTGGCCCTCAGACACGGTTCCATTATTACCCTGTAGATGCAAATCTGTTTTGACAAACAAATGCAGCATTTCCAGTGAAACAAATGCGCCTAATTTGTCATGGTAAACATCGAACAACTTATTATGCTTCGATTTGTGTCTTAGCCAAACTCTGTGGCCACCAGGGACGCTCCACCGCCCTGTTGATGCAAATCAGACGCGGTCGCAGTCCACCTTAATAGCATTAACAGCGTTCCGATACTGAGCTGCGTCAGGCTGCATTGCCGGCTCGTCGTCATTCGCATCTTCGGGTTGCTTAATCTTTCCTCTACGCCGCCATTAAAGCTCCTTCGAGTTGCGATGCTGCCAGACCAAAAGGGTTTATCGAGAGAAGAAACGAGGAGAGGAAGGAGGAGATGCGTAAGATGAGCCGAGAGAGATAGAGCGAGAGCTAGAGATAGAGAGAAGAAGAGAGAGATAGCTAGAGATATAGAGAGAGAGAGCAGAGAGAGAGAGATAGAGAGATCTTATCTCTCCTACTTCTTCTCTATCTGACATATCTCTCTCCTCTCCTTCTCTCTCTCTATCTCTCTCTATATCTCTATCTCTCGCTCTAGTATATCTCTCTCTATCTCTATCTCCTCTCTGCTCTCTTGCGTGTCTGTTCTAATTCGACCGCCTCTTCCTCTTAAAGCTCTTCGACGCCGCCACAAGTTCTTTTTTTAAACCACGACCAAGTTCCACCGTAACCTAGCATCCATTGGACGACTTATGGCGTGGCTAAACATCCGACCATTGCGAAAACTTTGTTAATCCTACGCTGCCTGACTGACTGTTTCGTGAATTACCTGGAATTTCCAGTCAGCTGATGTAAATGTAGGGATCTTGCCAAACGTCCGCTATTTATTGATGTTACCTGAAACACCTGGAGGTTCCTCGATACTTACGCCTGATTTCGTTAAAGAGATGAGCCACACCACCAGGAGTTCGAAACATCACACACACTACTTTCGAGATAATTTGTAATATATCATCCTCCTGCTTTATATATGCTTCATTCTTCGCCTTGTGAATCTGTCCCGACTCAGACTCAAAACGCACTCAGAAGATCCATACAGGATAATTGCTTTGATAGTGTTGCAGCTATATCATGATGTGCTCAGTTGGTCCCCACCAAGCTATCATACCATACTATATGTGGCGTATATATTTCTGTTTGCTCGGACCCACCGACAACTGAACGCCAACTCCTGCTCACAATAAATAAATCCGAGGGAAACATACCAACACGCATCAGACATTTCGTTGACTCTGGAGGCAATTCGTCTATACCCAGGTTGAAGCGCAATTGTTCCTGCAGCCCCTCCGACCGTGGTGACCGGACGAATCGCGGAATTCAATTTGTCAAACGTGCCTTACTCCCCCAATTCGTCTAGTGAGGTAAGAGACCAGTGACAACATGCTTTGACGCCATGGGAGATGGACATGCAAGCACCTTCACCTGCACGCTTCGAAGTAGGAAAACAATAGCCACCCCGTAATGTGCAACACGTCTTGATACCCGGCGAATGGATCACAAAGCACATCAACACATCGCTTGCACCAGTTCGCTGCCAAATTGAGCAACTCGCCCAGCATCCTAGCGACGGCCTTCCGCGAATCAATTCAGATCACGTTTGCGATGAACGCATCAATTAGTGGTGTGTCTTGCAACGCGGCACAGTTCGTCGGCCTAACCGCTCGTTTACGCCGGTGACCGCGTTGTGCCGGTCAAAACCGCCCGGGGGTAGGTCAGACGTCCCTCCTCGCGCCGCCGCCCGTGCCGAAAGTGCACGAGTAAGAGTAAAAGTATAAAACGCCGGGGCGCTGGCAGCATGGCACCGTGTCACCCAGCGACTACAGCGGCGAGAACATGTGGAAGGTACAGCAGGTCGCCGTCGCCGAGCGCGGTGGTGCCGGCGGTGCTGGTGCTGGTGCGGTGGTGCTGGTGCTGGTGCTGCTGGGGTCGGCGGAGCGTAGCGTGGCGTCTGCTGCGAGCCACCTGCTAGGAGCCAGGTTTGGTTGGATGTGTTTGGCCGCGAACTACCGTTGGGGAAAGCTACTTTGCTGAGCATAATGCTGCGTGGAGGTAGCGGAGTTTTCGAGGAGCGGTGCCATTGCCTTTGACTGCACAGCGAGTTAGTGTCATAATGCGTCGACTCTCTTAATTCACGAAGTTGGAATGAGCTGTGACAGCACCTCTGTCAAACAGTTTTTCGTGTATGTCCCTATCTCTTAGCTATATACGATCCATTGGCGATGTGCCTCTCTAAACATGAAATAGTATTATAAGGTTCCAGTTCAGCAGGGCAAAAAACTACGGGGGCATGTTTATGACGATATCGGCCAAATTACAACAATGTAACGACTCTGGATGCTAGAAAATTGGCAGATTTGTTCCAAAAGGGGGGAAAGCGTGTAAGTCACCTACCCACTCAAGAAACCTTACGTGATATCTGTAAGATCTGTCTCCGAACGAAAGTTGCTATGGCTCAAGCAGGTGTGAAGTTTGCTCTCAACCTTCTCTCCGTTTAGGCGACAGAGGTAATGCGCTTCGACAAGCTCTCTTCAAATTATTTCTCTTTAGGTGTCGTGTAACTCCCCACTATTCTAACTGAAGACATCGCGTGCACGATTTGACCAGGGTGTGACACACGCTTTTCTCATTTGAGACGACGAAATTGGCGCAGTTGGTGGCGCGCCGGGCTTGTTACCCAGCGGTCCGCGGCTCGACCCGGTGAGAAAGCGAGGTGGATGGGGAGATGGCAGAAAGCAAGCAGACGAGGCCGCGGCAACATTCGTGAAGCCATCAGTCGTTAAGCGATCGAACTGTAAAGTTTCAGTACTTGCCGGTGGACTATTTCTTGGACACTTCCAATCGATGGTGTCTGTTTCCCACGGCGCCGCTGGAGCCTGTTGAGCCCATGACGGCAGTTGTCCCCCGCGGGCATGACGCGCCACTCGGCTCCGACTCCGGCTCTGGCTTCGGGCACGGCCGGGCGGCGGCACGGTCTGCCAGCCAGCGCGGAAGTCGTGACGATATCTAGGATGTATCTATCTTGGCTCGCCAAGCGTTGCGTTGCGCTCACTTTCACTGCTTCGTGAATCAGGGATCAAGTACCATGGAAGTGCCTCGCGATGACGAGGGGAGGCGATGAGGGGAGGGGACTGAACCGCTTGGTCTGTTCCCAAGCAACATCTCGGGCCTGATTTAGGTGTGTATGGACACTTACTACGAGTGTCGCCCCCTTCCATGCTCCCCACGCATGCTGTTGAAGCATTTTGTGTTGGCAACGACTATACTATCTTCGTCTTGCTGATACTCGCGGTTGCTGCGCGGCGGTTTGTGGGTCAAGTAGTAGTAAAGTGGGTGAAGTAAAGTCTTTCTTTTAGCATTACTTTAAGATGCATCAATGTAAGCAGCCAGCCAGACAAACCCGCCCGGAGGATGCTGAGCTTTTCTTGATATTCTCGGTTCGAGAGACTTCCACGAGTATCGTCGCAACATGCGCACAACCGGTCATGCGTGGCATTGGGTATCTTAAACACGCAACAGGCAAACGATGCTCAATTCTACCCCTTAAAACTGCATGGAACTTTGCATAGCATTGTGTTGACATCGTAGCATGGTTGACATGTTAGTATATGTTTGCTCTTTTTCTAGCAGCCCATGTTTTTCATTTAACCTACCGGGTGGCTGTAATTCATTGACTATTTTGTGATCGTTTCAGCTGCTTATAGTCTACCTGGCCGCGGGGGCGATGGCCCAGTCGCGGACAAACGGCACACACCTGCAACTGCTTCGGCGGAGGCGGCAACAGTACTCCGCCCCAGCTCCTGCCCCTCAACCGAGCTATGCCCCAGCTCCTGCTACCCAGCCAAGCTACGCCCCAGCCCCCTCCCCTCAGCCGAGCTACGCCCCATCTCCAGCTCCTCAACCGAGCTACGCCCCACCCCCCTCTCCTCAGCCGAGCTACGCCCCAGATCCTGCTCCTCAGCCGAGCTACTCGCCAGCTCCTGCTCCCCAACCGAGCTACGCACCATCCTCCTCCCCTCCGCCGAGCTACGCCCCAGCTCCTGCTCCCCAGCCAAGCTACGCCCCAGCTCCTGCTACCCAGCCGCGTTTTTCCCCAGCCCCCGCTCCTGAGCCGAGCTACGCTCCAGCGGCTGAGGTAGACTACGATGAGCCTGTGGAATACAACGCCGCGGCATACAGTGATGTAAGTGACTTGACGCATGCCAGCTCGACAAGCATCGGTTGGACAACTATGGTGGTATGAATGATGATGAGTGCGCACAAAGATCAGACAGGCTTGTACAGGACTTAGAAAGTCGATAATATGCTGACCTAATAAATTGCATCGCAGAAGCTTAAAATGTTGCATTTGAAAGTGTAATTTTGTACGATTTTTCCATTGTGTAAGCACCCTGCGCTTTATTGTGGTTCATCATTCAGTTTTAACATAATTGCACGAATTTCGAGTCGAGAATTAAGTCCAGATACCTGTGTTGGTCTAATTTGTTTGCCTGGGTCGTTCCAAGGAGCCAGCCAAATACGACTTCCAATGGGGAGTGAAGGACGACTACGGTAACGACTACGGCCACAAGGAGTCCAGGGATGGAAACAAAGTGCAGGGCACCTACTACGTCCAGCTGCCCGACACCAGGAAGCAGACCGTCAACTACCACGTGGACGGTCAGAGCGGCTTCATCGCGGATGTGCAGTACGAAGGTGAGGCGCAGTACCCGCAAGCGAGCGGAGGAAAGGGCTACCAGGCCGGGCCGGCCGCTGGAACGGCGTCTAATGACCAGGCGCGCTACCAGCCGGCTCCTCAGCAGCAGAGATATGAACCGGCTCCGCAGCAGCAGCAGCAGCAGCAGCAAGCAGCAGCAGCAGCCGCAGCAGCAGCAGCAGCAGAGCTATGGACCGGCTCCGCAGCAGCAGCAGCAGCAGAGCTATGAATCGGTTCCGCAGCAGCAGCAGACCTACCAGCCGGCTTCCCAGCAGCAGCAGCAGCAGCAGAACTACGAACCGGCTCCGCAGCAGCAGCAGCAGCAGCAGCAGCAGCAGCAGAACTACGGGCCGGCTCCGCAGCAGCAGCAGCAGCAGCAGCAGGAAAACTATGGACCGGCTCCGCAGCAGCAGCAACAGCAGCAGAACTATGAACCGGCTCCGCAGCAGCAGCAGCAGCAGCAGCAGCAGAACTACCAGCCGGCTCCTCAGCTCCAGCAGCAGCAGCAGCGCTATGAACCCGCACCTCAGCCGCAGCAGCAGAGCTACGAATCTGCACCTCAGCCTCAGCAGCAGAGCTATGAGCCTGCTCCTCAGCCCCAGGAGCAGAATTACCAGCCTGGTCCCCAGCCTCAGCCACGACCGCAGCAGCAGCAGCAGCAGCAGCAGCAGCAAGGCTATGAGCCTCCTCCCCAGCCTCAGCAGCAGCAGCAAGGCTATGAGCCTGCTCCCGAGCCGCAGCAGCAGGGCTACGAATCTCCCCCTCAAGCTCAGCAGCAGAGTTATGAGTCTGGTCCTCAGCCTCAGGAACAGAACTACCAGCCTGGTCCCCGACCTCAGCCGCAGAACTTCCAGCCCGCTTTTGAACAGCAGCAGCAGCAGCAGGGCTATGAGCCTCCTCCCCAGCCTCAGCAGCAGCAGCAAGGCTATGAGCCTGCTCCCCAGCCGCAACAGCAGGGCTATGAGCCTGCTCCCCAGCCGCAACAGCAGGGCTATGAGGCTCCTTCTCAGCCGCAGCAGCAGAGCTACGAAGCTCCTTCCCAGCCGCAGCAGCAAAACTATCAGCCGGCTCCCCAGCAACAGCAGCAGCAGCAGGGCTATGGGCCTGATCCCCAGCAAGAGCAGCAGCAGCAGGGGTATAGGCCTGGTCCCCAGTCTCAGCAGCAAAGCTATGAACCTGCACCCCAGCCGCAGCAGCAGAGCTATGAAGCTGCTCCCCAGCCACAGCAGCAAAACTATCAACCTGCATCTCAGCAGCAGCAGCAGCAGCAACAACAGCAACAACAGCAGCAGAGCTATGGGTCTGCTCCCCAGCCCCCACAGCAGAGCTATGAGCCTGCTCCTCAGCCCCCACAGCAGAGCTATGAGCCTGCTCCTCAGCCCCAGCAACAGAGTTATGAACCTGTTCCCGAGCCGCAACAGCAGCAGCAAGACTATCAGCCTGCTTCACAGCAGCAGCAGCAGCAGCAGCAGGGTTATGAGCCTGCTCCCCAGCAGCAGCAACAGCAGCAGCCGCAGCAACAGGGCTACCAGCCTGCTCCTCAACAGCAGCAGCAGCAGGGCTACCAGTCTGGCCCGCCACCCTCTGCCCAGCCTCCGTCTGGACAAAGGTACAGCTTTCCGGAGGCCGAGAGAGGCTTCCAGCCGATCGAGGACAACAGCGGTTACGCGGCCCCGAAGCCGTCGTCACTGTTGTGAGCAGGCGGAGAGGCAGCGACAGCTTGGCGAGTGCGGTTGTGATGCCATACACACGAGCAGTGTTATGTTCGTCTAGTGGTTGAGGAAGGAGTCGCGGCGCTTGTGTGAGTGCTATGTGCCTGTCGCTGTGCTGCCTCCGTTGTTTCAGTGTATTCTAAGTCACCGTGTTTGCCTTAAGCCAGGCCGGACGGGCGCCTCCGGCTTCCGGAGGGTGTCTAGTCCCTGGTGTCTTGTGGCGGTACTGTACCTAGATGACCTTTTGTCGTTGTTATTTTCGCCGATGGCTTACTCATGGGGCGCTGTGCTCCTGCTGATCCTGAGAGAGTTACGCCCTGATACCCACTGCATTTATTTGATCGGTGAGGTGCTCAACGTAAAAGCTCAACGGCCGATATTCCTTCGAGATCCTGGGAATTTTAGGATTCGCCAGGGAACATGGTTAACGAGGCATGATGGTGCGTGCGTTATGTACGAGTACGCATTTGTCATGAATACATGTTTTTTATAAGATGTTTGTTGCATCCTGCCCCGGCTCAGGCGTAAGGGTACCTTCGTAAGGTACCTTCAATGGAAGTTGTGCGAACGTCACATTACTTACGGCCGACTGGGAAGCGCTGGATATACACCTCTCGATGTGCTAATGTGCGATGTTAAAAACTTTCTATTGGTTTGTTAGGCCTTCAATGACACATTGAAGCAGACAAGTCAAAAGCTTTGCCGAATGTCGTCTTCTGTGAAGCATTATATTCTTATTTACTCACATAACTGCCTAATGTCTAGGTGTTGGTCGTCATAAAATAGCGCTGGAAACGCGCAAGACAAACCAGATTTCAAGGTTTTCAAATGCTTCGCTCACTTTGAAACATTCCCAGCAGTCTCGCGCCAGCTTCTCCACCACCCATAACCCGCAAGCTGCCGACTCCTCCAACGCGCGTGAGAACCCCTCAACCAACACCGCCCGTCACTTTGATCCACCAATAGTCCTTCAGCTGGTTAGTCACGTGACACGCGTCAGCTGCCCGCTGGTGCGCGACGTCGCCGGTCTGACCGCTGACGACCACCAGCCTTTCTCGCGCCGGCGGGAAGCCTCGGTCGCGAGGTTCGAGTGAGAGCGCGCCGGGCAGGAGCCGCAGAGGGGCGGTGCGATCAGTCTGTCTGTTGCGCGCCTGTCGATGATGGATCGGTGACAGAGATGCCACGCCGTGGAGGTGCGTCTGCGGGCTGGGGGATAGGCGATGGGTCGGTGGAGACGGAGGGCGCCGGTGACTTGCTCAAACATAAGGTATGCGGAGGATGATAGTGATTCATTTATCACTATCATCATGCGGAGGGATAAGCCCTTGGCGTTTGAATGCAGAAGTGGTTCATGGGTTCACATTGCACGGGATTTCCACCTCGGACACCGGAGTCTGAACATGCCCAGAGGTGGCCTCTGTTATCTAATGTTCCTGTTGACAAAAAGGAATGACAGTAACATGAAATAAACACGTAATTGTTTTGCGGTGCCCGGGATAGAATGTGATTTCGGAGTCACAACTTCTGTTTCACGAGTCTCTGAAATCTGGCTCATTGAAAGTGCAGGTGTCTGACGGAATTTGGCATTCTGGCATGGCGCGGCATCTAGTAGGTGCGGATGCTCGATACAGTGCACGTGTTTGCAGATGCTCCTTTTGACCAGACCCGGCTCCAGCAGCGGGGAATGTGGCCTTGCGCAACTGTGGTTTGACATGGCAGATCATCGTGTAAGGTAGCATTTTCCGAGACTTTTGTGGAGTAACAGGAAGCTCAGCGCGATATCAACAAGCACGCAGCACAAGATGACGCAACACGCCTGATGTAACCCCATGCGCCGCACTGAACGCACTAATCACCTGCATGGCGTAGTATCATCGACCGGCTGTGACGTCACATCCCGTCCAAACTGCAGACGAGACCAGACGGCTCTGGTCGGCTTAGCGAGGGCAGCACGCCCAACAGCTCAGCGGAATGTGCATATTTGCACACGAGCTTGGCTTCTGCACAACGGTGGGTTCCTGGGGTGTGACCAACGCTACGCCGCTTCAACATCACCTGACCGGCGATGAGCGATTGATCAGGCTCACGTGAGTGACTGAAGCCGTGAGGTGGTGACCCAAAAGTCTGCGGAAGTAATCGAGCCGTTGCCCATCACATTTCCATGCGGACGATTTGGACCGGTGCCAGTGAAGGACAGATTGCTGATGTTGGAATACGCCCATTATTCACCTGCTGCATCAGATAGCATCGACATGGACTGAAGCTCCATTGGGACCATTCCAGTTCATAGGGTCCATTGACTGGGGTGGGTTCATGATGTACGCTCCCATCCGCGAGCTAGCACCACTCGGCTCGTCACGTGATAGGGTGACCTGGTCGCTGACAGGCTAGCCAATCGCAGCCAGTCTGGCCGCACCCAGTTGCCACGACGGCAGCAATCAGCTGGAACAACATATACGCCGCTCACCAAAGCGCACCTAAATCACCCCGTTCGCCCGGCCGTAACACCAAGAAGCTGTACCAAGTCTGACCTGGCATGACCGTCAGTGTGTCAACATCAGCATTGGAGCCTTCGATGCACCGAATGCGGCGCCTGCCAGGGCGATGTATAATTTTGCTCACCGCGAGGGCAAGGGCAAAAATGCTATGGTCGTACACACAATAACAAAAATGCAACGTCTTTTTCTTCCGATACCTTCATGTCTGTATACTTTTCGAGTCCAGATGCCACGCGACCCCGGCGCCTAGCGCACAGTACCACCTAGCGCACAGTACCATAATAAAGTGACTAATCGATCCGGTTGGAAGACGAAACAGTCCGTCCGAGAACGTGACGCACAGGGGTATGCATGAGACTACGGGCAATCTGGAATGCTGCCGCGAAGCCACTGGTTGGCCTTGACGATGATAAGCAAGAATGCTGGTAGATTGCATGTGTAGTTATGAGCGCGGAGTTTGTCTAAACACCAATTCACAAACGGCAAATCGTGCCGTTTCGGCGGTGCAGCCCGACTAGAACCTGACCATCTTTCTAACAGTTGAATACCTTTCCAGATACTGTTTATCGTGTCTAACAATGTTGAGCGGGGAACAGATCGATTTTTTTTGCAAGTTTTGGTCCAATATTGTCAAGACAACTAGTTACAAATTATTTTGTCTGGCGTGATTGTCTGAAGTGCTCCAATGTGACCACAAACGAAACTTCCATTCGATCAGCAATGGCAACATAAAATTTGGTTATTAGAGAAACTAAACAGCACAAACTGTAACTGGGCGCTTATGTTTGCACCCCGCGCTCCTAACAACGCAGGATCAACACGATTGAACCGGAGAAAGAGAGGACGATCATGATGACTTTAGTGTGGGTCACGTCAGTGTGGGTCTGGTCAGCAGGTCACCTGCCAACGAACAGAAATCATGCATTACCAGGCTTTAATTACCTTGAGGCGATGGAATGGCAGCCTGTGTACTGAAAATAGCCAGCCTTCAATATACCGGGAGCTACGGGTTCAATGGCGTTGTCAAACAAGCGTTGGTTATCTTAAGAAAATGTGACGTAATGCTGTATGTATCCATGATCTCAGGTGAACAAGTCTTCGCAAAAAGTAAGGTTAAAAAAACCAGGTCATGTGAGAGGCAATGATGTATCTTGTGCCGGTATTTCCCGTAGAAATAAATGAAAATTATAAATAATTTGAGCTCTCACGTCTGGACATTATGCCCAGATGTGAGGACTCAAGTTAAGCCTTGGTTGAGCCCTCACATCTGGATTATCACCTATCTGGATCAACTCCTATTAGGATATTGGAGCTCAACTGTTTCATTAGTTGGGTATTTTGCTGCTGACTAGCTACAGATTCGAAAATATTCTGCATTTCACGTGCCTTGGTACTCATTCATATTGTTGTGCTTACCTTGCTCGCTCATGACCGTGAACATAGCTACGAAGCTACCAGCTGACCTCTCGATGACGGTCGGCGGGACAGTCCCCGCGATGGGACAGCCCCCCCCCCCCCCCCCAGCTGACCTCTCGATGACGGTCGGCGGGACAGTCCCCGCGATGGGACAGCCCCCCCCCCCCCCCAGCTGACCTCTCGATGACGGTCGGTGGGGTAGCCCCCGCGATGGGACAGCCCCCCCCCCCAGTTGACCTCTCGATGACGGTCGGCGGGACAGTCCCCGCGATGGACAGCCCCCCCCCCCCCAGCTGACCTCTCGATGACGGTCGGCGGGACAGTCCCCGCGATGGGACAGTCCCCCCCCCCCAGTTGACCTCTCGATGACGGTCGGCGGGACAGTCCCCGCGATGGGACAGCCCCCCCCCCCCCCAGTGACCTCTCGATGACGGTCGGCGGGACAGTCCCCGCGATGGGACAGCCCCCCCCCCCCCCAGCTGACCTCTCGATGACGGTCGGTGGGTAGCCCCCGCGATGGGACAGCCCCCCCCCCCCAGCTGACCTCTCGATGACGGTCGGTGGGACAGCCCCCGCGATGGGACAGCCCCCCCCCCCCCCGCCTAAGACTCGTGCCCAGTACTCCGGGACATCCTTAGCGCCAGACGGAATTTTTCGTGATGGTTAGCATATAGAATGGGTGAACGATTTCAAGCATCAGAATGAACGCTAGAACATAAAACAATGCCATTGCAGCCATTTCGCATTACTACAGGGCCGCAGACTGGGATCCAAGCGATGCTCTGACAACACATCTATCGGTCGCGATTTAGTCAGTTCCACATTATTCGACCGGAGGTGAACCAGAAGCTAACAGAAAACCAATCTCCCGAGAAGCGAATCTCCCGAGAAGCCACTCCTGTTCTTTTTTAGTAAAACGGTCTCGATGCGAGCTGCTACGTGGTATAAACCGAGAGCGATAGGCCATGTAAAGCGTGCGAACGTATGACTCAATCAGTTGTGGCCAATATCCACTAAACATGCTGGGCTTTCATGAATACGTTTGTAATAACCAACTAATACAAACAACGCAACTTTATCCATTTCTTTAATCGAAATAGTCTGTGTCATCGCCGAACAAGTCTGGGACCATGCTATGTGTTAAGTGGTGTAATAGAAATACGAATAAATGACCGTCTTTTTCTGATGAGCTCCCCAGTAGGCCAATAGATTAGCAGACCATGTGGCTAATTTCAGGATACATTTGTAAAGCTCCCAGACAGGTGTGATCCAATCTGGGCCGCATGCTATCATCTGCATGGTAATATCATTGCCTATGTCGTCACGCGCTTCGTCCCTTACCAAGCGAGGCGCCGCGCGGGCGTGAAGTGCTGAAAATAGTTTCGGCTTCGAGGCGCACCGTTTGTTCACATGTTTCGGCCGGTTGTGCGCACCCTGGCTTGCCTTGGTTTGTGGCTTTGAGGCAGTTATTTTACGCTAGTAACCATCGTGTGCCATGCCGTAGTGCTACAACGTGACACACGTTACAGTGCACGCCGTAACGCCCAACAGGACTACCAACGCACAATGTTATGTTTCTTGTGCTAACTGCCAACGGACACTCAACGCTGCCTCCCCAGCGGCTATATCATGCTTAGCCTTTTTTCGTTTCTTGTTACACAAAATGCGAACCGTTTCCACGTAATCACAGAATATAGGTGGCTTAAGGTGCAGCAAAAACCACACGTAAGCACGTTTCCTGCGTTCAGCAAAGAAAATAACACTTCAGCATTAAGATATAGCAGCTCAGCAACTCAATTTATCGCATTCACACGGAGAAGTCCATACGAAATACTTGCGAAACACAAACAATGTAGGGTACGATTAAAGCAGTCTGAAAGCACAGCCGAAACACATCACCGGCATAACCCGCAAGCATTCGCTCTTTGTACCTATCACCCTTCACCTCACTGTGCCACAGTGGGCGAGTCAAAGCTCGACGAACTCCATCTAACTTGGTCGAGCCTTCCCACCAAAACAACAAGGCGAACGGACTACATTGACACTCGACGCCGCCGTCCCGCCGGCCCGTCTAGAAGTCGGGCGCCGGGCACTTGTCGCGCTCCAGTCCGCGCGGGTTGTAGAGGCTGTACTCCTTGTTGCGGTAGTCCTCCCAGGGCTCAGTGTCGCGCTTCCTGTACTGCACCTCGGGCACCTTGATGAGCGTGCGCAGAGCGAACAGCGAGTCACCCAGCACGGCCAGGCCCACGAGTGTGGCCAACGGGATCAGCGCCGGGTTCTTCTTCATCGTCGCCATGCTGAACAGCGGCGAGCGGGGAGACTTCGTCATGGTCAACGGCGGGCTGAAATCAACAGATCAAGTGATAAGGCAGGCCATCGTGAAAATGAATCCTTGAGCCTCTTTTAAGAACGTTGCATGCTTTGGGCAACCTGAACGCTGCCAATTTGTACATACCCAAGCACTGTCAATTTTACACTCCAAAGCAGCGCCTATTTCACCGCCCGAACGCTGCCCACCCTTACCCACCAACCGCCGCTATTGGATATGCCAGAACACCGCATGTCTCATCGCCCGTAGCCCTGCCTGTTGACAGTCCGCAGTCTTTCACAGATCCGACGGCGACGGAACGGGAGAGTCCCGCCGTCACGTCCGCTCCCGTCCGTCTTCAGTGCGCGCCTGAACAGCGCGCGTGTTTGACCGGTGCTTGAACCGCGGACGCTCGACAGGGGCGCGGCCATCGGCCTGCACCGGTGGGATGTGGCTGCGTTCGCCGTCCCAGCCCAGTTAGCTAATCAGGCTGGGTGTCCGGTATTGCGTCACCGACGGCATGATGTGGCCGTTGAAGAACATGGGCACGCAATGAGCAGGGTCGCGCGGAGGTGCCTAATGCTCTATCTAACCTGATACAACGATCGGCGATATGACCAAGTGGCAATCAGAGAAGACGAAAATGCGCATACATTACAATACAACGTGCACAGCACCTAAATCAGTGTGCAATCCCCATGACCGATCCAGCATCTGCATGCTCGTCTGCAGACGCTCCCTGCGGAGTTCAGCACGTCGCAGGTAGCAGCAGCCACTCGTCATAATCACCTCCAGAGGTTCAGCGTGTCCAGACCGAATCGATTCCCTGGGTTGGCCTGATATGAGGGCGGTGGATCGATGAACTGCGCTGCTTCGTCTGTTGGTGGGCGGCATGGGCGGGACGGCATGGGGACCAGAGCCTTGCGTATGTTGTGGTTTGAAAAGCTGTCCCGGCTTGGGCAGTTGTTTATGCCCTGTCGCCGTGCTAATTTCCCCGTGCTTACAATGCATATTCGCGTAACTTTCCAGTTGGGAACCAGTACGTCGCTCATCGACAAAGACCAGCAGCAAGGCCACATATGTTAGAGGCACAAACTTGGACCCACAGAACATTTGGTGGACACAACTCACGCTATTTCTAGTTATGTAAAAGCTGAATAGTTAAAGTTGAATTATCTCTGCTTGAACGACGCGCTCCCACAAATCAGTGCAGGCAACCGGGACGCTGCTTCAGAGTCGCAAGCACCTTCGTATCAACGACATTGTACTGCATTTTCATCAGATGACGTATCCATTCAGTGTTTGTTTTAGACGAAACGCTAAATACCGGACCTAGGCGTCATCAACCAATGCCTGATGTCTCCTCAAACACCGAACCACTGTTCATTTCCAATCGCGCCTTTCTGCTCACTGGCCGCGATAAAATTCCTCACATTTCGTCTTCAACCGAAGAAGACATCTACCCACCTGTTGCGGTTCGAGACGTTCAGCTCCTGTTGCGAAGTGCGCCTGTCCGGGTGAGGGTGCCGTCAGCAGCGGTGGAGGCTCGTGCAGCTCTGAGGCCGAGCTCCGGCAGCGGCGAGACCCGGGGTACGCCCGCGGCGCTGACGCAGCCGCTGCCTCATACGCCGGCGCCGACCGCTCAGGGTTGCATCAGCTTTCCTGCAGTTCGAAAAGTCCCCGCGGACGCGTCACGTGCCGCACGCGGCGAATCTGCGTCTCGCCATGAGTGACGTCACGTGCGCTGTTGACCTTCGTCGGCGGCGACCGAGCCCGCAGGCGCCGGCGAGTTTACCGGCGCCGTTTCCGCCGGCGGTGTTTGAAGTCGGCGCGGTAGGTGGGCGCCGGCCGCTGCGCCCCGCCGGTCTGGTCCGAGACAGTTTTTCTTTTGCTCACATGTCTGCTGCGACCAGCAGACGAAGAAGAACCAGGTTTCCGTACAAAATGTGGAGGAGAAAATGGAAGAAGCCGAACAAGGAAAGCGAACAGTCTTACTAAGTGCTTTTGCGAGGAACATTATGCATATAGATATGACAGTAGTAACAACCTTAATCCTCGTAGAAAACCCAAGAGAATGGCGAGATAAATGCGTTGATATTTCGGCAGCATACCTTTATCGAAACGAAGACCAGTAGCAGATTCAAAATTGCCTGCTGATCCTGCTCGATTTGTCAGTTTTGTTTTTAAAACGGCAAGCACAGTTTTTACAAGTGACCAACATTCAGGAGATTAAACAAGGAGCAATTGTTAGCTGTTTCTACGATACAGTGCACACCTAATATTAACAATGCGCGAAAAATACGTGAACATGCAACGAATTAAAGTAAACGGGCACCACGCATCACGCTTCCTTCAAACATGTATGCATGCACATGTGATGCGCGATGCCTGTCTAATTTATGTCGTTTGCATGCATAATCGATGTGTGATGCGTGATGCCTATTGACGAAATCACTTGCATGTTTGAAAAAGGGTGCTGTGTGACGCATGTTTGATTGAATTCGTTTGCACGTTCACGTATTTGTCTTGCATTCCAATATCAAGTTATATATGTACTGTATCGTAGTAATACAGTGCATATATTATGGTTAGCATTGCTCCTTCTTTAATGCCCTGTATGTCGGTGACATGTAAAGACTGTGGCTCGCTGTTAAAAAATTCAAAAATCAAGTTTGATCGGCAGGTAATTCCAAATATGCTGCTGACATTCATTTCGATTAAACCATTTTGCCAAAATATCAAAGCATCTATGTTTTCCATTCTACTGGCTTTCTACGAGGAATAAGGCTATTATTACTGTCTTATCTACTACTGGGATTTAGGTCGACAGAGATAAAAGTCGAATCTGAAGAAGTCCATCGATCAAAAATTGACTGGAACAAAGTCGGCAGGGATAGAAGTCGAATCGGAAGAAGTCGAAAGGGATAAAAGTTAACAGTGGGAGAAGTAAAAACCTTCCTTATAAAGCAAACATCCGGCAGGGGTAAAAGCCGAATCAGAAAATGGTAAAGGATAAAAGTCGACAGAATACGAGTTGGGAGAAATATTGAAAAAATGCAGCCGAAAAACGTCGGTTGGGATAAAAGCAAACAAGAAGGAGAGTTTAACTAAGGGAAGAGAATTTGGGGCAAGAGAGCCTAAATAATTTGACGCCAGGCATGAACGAGGATGCTACCGACTGCACTCAGATCCGCCCCGGGCGTGAAGGAGGATGTTACCGACTGCACTCAGATCCGCCCCGGGCGTGAAGGAGGATGTTACCGACTGCACTCAGATCCGCCTGCGGACTCAGTGATTCCGCTACCTCGCATCCCTGGGTCCTCCAATGTGGGCCCGCCTGCACTCACCCGGTAAACGCCCCTGGCAGGAAGCCACAACACGCCCCAAAGCTGTCAGGTGGTCGATCTGCTATGGGTACCCTGCTTAGGTGACCACCAGGTGGCCGATCTACTTTAGGTACCCCACAAGGTGGCTATTAGACGACGGATCTGCTATGGGTACCCTGCTAAGGTGACCACCAGGTGGCCGATCTACTATGGGTACCCTACAAGGAGGGTACCCATAGTAGGTACCCATACCTAGTAGTAGGTACCCATAGTAGGTACCCATAGAGTGTCTTGCCAAGCATTCCATCTCCTGTGTTGAATTTTCTCAACTGTATCGGGGAAAGGGGGGCCTGATCTCTCCCCCCACATAACACGATATTTATTTCCCTCACCTGTCTGGTTTCTATATGAACACCAGGTAACACCACCAAACAACCACCAGGTTGACAAACACCAGGGCAAAAGGTTCATGGTTATCGCTGGTGCCGTGGTTCTCATGGTTATGTGTTTTTCGATGCTTTATCCCCGTCGACTTTTAACCCTTCAGCGCCTTTTCAACTCCACTTTTGTCTCCATGGACTTGTATGGCCCGGTCGTTTTTTGCCCTCCGAGTTTTTACCGATTCGGCTGTCATCTCTGCCGCCATTTCTCCCTGCCCACATTTTTCGCTCTTGGGCTCCCCATTCGACTTTTTGTTCGAACACTGCGACGCCCGTATCACATGTGCGATTTAGTGCAAATGACTGCTGTCCAGACGCACACATGTTTTCTAATCCCCAAGCTTGCCTTCGGCCCGATGTGACGAGAAAGCTCACGTGGCCGATCCAACGCTTCGTCCGTTCTAGTACGGTGAACCGTCCGTTCCTCAAGGTCTCTCTCATCTCTGCGCGGACCTCGTACTAGATAGTGATGGGTAGGGCAGGCCGGCTTGGTGCACCTCTCGCGTGGAAAACTAATACCCTCGCCCACTGGAAGGGTGCCAGGGCGCCCGCAAAGCGATATAAATCCGCACCTCTAGTCCAGACGCGTGACCCGGCGCCGGCGCTTGTTAGCTGGCGCGGCGCGGTCGGGGGAGGGGGGAGGGGTAGGGGATCTCCCGTGCAGCTGGAACGCCCGCCGCCGTGAGTCAGCAGAAGCGCTCGCTCAGGGCGGAGGCCACATGCGGGGCTCGGCGCAGCAAACCAGGACAAAGCGGGCCGACCGCCGGCCGATGCAGGTGGCCGCGCGACCTCTGCCCCCGCCGAGTAAGTGCAAACACGAATGAAGCGCGCATGTCAAGACAGTGCCGCTTTTGCAGATAAGGATCTTTCCTTGTCTCTCGATAGCACCTGTTAAATCCCTTCAGGGAATTGTGACTTATGACCATTGATTGTGGCATTGTAGCTTGCGGCTATCGGACAGGGAGTGGCGGCACGGGCATACGGACTGAAGCCAGGTCTGCTCCGCGCATGCTCGCGTATAGGGGATGGCTGTCGCATCAATTCGCATGATTGCGACAACCAACAAGACAGGACAGGAGAGAGCAGAGAAGAGAAAGGAAAGAAAGAAAGTAAAGAGCATACGAGCAGAAAGAAAAAGCAGGTCGGACAGAACAGCTAACAGACACTGCAACTCTGTCCAATCCTTCGAAACAGGCACGCATGAGTTCTTACGGCTGCCTGCTTATTTATCACTTCGGGAAGATTATTTAGCATGCTTAACGAGTACGTGCTCAACGAACTTGTTTTGAATGCAGCCCATGCTGGTTTTTTATGCCACGCGCCCTACAAAATATAGTGCTGTGCATACGAGATTGGCACATCTTGTTCAGCACATGGTCACGTTATCACTGACAGGATCAGCGAAGGGGGGGGGGGGAGAGAGGCCAATTTTGTCGAGCCAGTCCATGCCCTCTTTGCAGTGCACGTGCACTGTGAGTAGACCAAGATGCTCTTAAACTATCATCACCCTCACAGACACTGCCAGAAGCAGTACTTAACGCGTCAGTATGCTATCAATTTTGGCTTGCCCTAGTGCCGAAAAGAATTGCCTCAATGCATGCCGCATGCATATCCATTCGTCCCATCGCAGACCTGGTCACTAAATTACGGCTGCTGGGTGCGACATGCCATTGGCCATGGTTGCAAATGAGATTTTAAGACATAATCAGATTCCTGATGGCCACATTGTCACCATGTTCCATAGCGTTGCGGTGAAATACTGCGCCCGATCCTGACGGCAGGAGGCGGGCTAAGCCTCACAAGCTCCGTGCCGTTGGTTGCGCCACTGACCGCTGACGACTGTACAACGTCCAGATTCCCAGCGACGGGCTAAAATAAGACGGAAGAAGCCAACTCGTCTCATATTGCATCAAGTCATGCTATCGTGCATCATGCACTGTTTTACTGGCCGCCGATCCCGGCGGTGCCCGCCCTTTCCGCCAGGGTGAGAGGCGGGAGATGCCTCAGCCTACAGCCTCAGCAGCTGAGTCCGTCGCAAAGCTCCAATGACACTTCCTTCTGACGTCATCCCGTTGGTAACGTCCGCTACTCGGCTGGTAGAGAGCACCCATGGTTTTCCACTGAACTGAAGCACTTTCACCACGTTCTGTTGGATGCGCAATAGACGAGCATTCAAACTACCATTAACATCCTTGTGAGCCGCAGTACAGGATCATATCGGTCCGCACGTAAATGAAATGCAGTTCAGGATGTCTTGCGCAGTATTAGGAAAATGTCTCGCCCACGGACGATGGTTCGTTGTGATCACCTAAGCTGCACTGGACGCCCGCCTGAACCAGTTATTGCTGCGGTCTTGGCATACTAATACTGAAGCCAGTGGTTCATGCACAAAACTGACCGGGCCGGAGTGGATTCCCGGACAAGTTTTTGATTCGAGCGGTTACATTCCTGAATTTGGGGTGAAATGGCTGTCTTCCATGCAGCTGACGGATGCGAATAATCGTGGGCACCTTTTTGTGCTATCCTCGTGTATTTGCATGACCACCGAAAACTTCCCTATCGATTAAGAACATGGGAAAATAACTATTCTATCTCACAACGATAGGCTCAGTGGTATTCAAACACCTTCGAAACATGGTCAGCGCCCAGCGATAAGAAATCCCATTCCACGCCACTAAATTTCGGGGGGATAGGGGTGGTAGAAAATTCAGACCATGCGCTCACTCAGCCCCACACAAACAACTTCGACGTGGCACCCACCACGCTACTGCCCACCCGCCTTCCCTTGCCCGTAGGGCGACCCTTAAGCCCGCCTGCACAGCAATGCACGGACGCTCGTCTCGCCGCAGCTGCTGTGCAACTGCTATCGCCGCCAGCTGACCTCAATGGCAATCCCTGCACGTGCGCCACATGCTGCCCG